CATATAGCCAAAGTAGCTGCTTCAGGAAGTTATACGTTTCATATTAAAGTTAATGCTGATATAAATATTAACATAATTTCATTGTAGGGGATGGTGAGTTTTAGTACATTTGTTTCTTTTACTACCACATGCCTGCAAGGCAACATCTTATTTCTAAAACTTGATGCTGGGAAGTAAAAAATTATCCACTGTTGGTTAAATACTGATGCACATAATGGAAAAGGCAAAAGCCTCAGGTTAATAAATTGCTGGATATTTAGAAGTTCCTATCCATAAATCTGACTATAATGAAAAACTAACAGCTGAATATTAGTTGCAATTTTGTTTTAATTTTTTTTGCGCTAGTAACTTTAAGTGAATTACTGGCAAAATAGCAAATTGACACAGCTGGTGTCTTATAAATTCAAATCCCCAATTCAGCAAGGTACCTAAGGTGTCTAACTTTAAGCATATCAGTAGTCCTACTGAAGTCAATTGGACATCTCACATGCTCAGTGCACCTGCTTAAGCAACTACCTGAATCAGGGCTTTGGAGGCAGCACGTTCCAGGGAACAGGGCACTAGTGTAGGAATAAGATCTGGATTCTATTCCTGGGTCTGCTGCTGGACTGCTTTGTGACCTTGCGCAAGCCATTTCATCTCTCTACACCTTGGTTTTCCCATCTGCAAAATGGAGATAATAATGCTGGCCCACCTCTGAGATTTATGACTACAGAGTGGTTCAAGTACTTTGCTGGAAGCACAGGTATAAGTGCTTTTCTGAATCAGGACCTATCACTGCTAATTATTAGTGTTTATTTTTAGAACAAGAACAGCAATGTGAGTGCAAACTTCCCCACATTGCCTCACCAATGTGGTTCAACAGTGACTTGGTGGCTCACTCCTACAATTAGCTTAATCTTTATGCTCATTCAGTCCTGGGCTCTTCTGAAACTATCAAGGAGGATGTCAGCTGTGATAGTCTTTTTTTGTGAAATTGACAAATGTCCACTAGCAACAGAACTGAAACCATCAGCTAAGCTCAGAGAACTGGTTGTTATTGTGGACCTACAAATGGAGGTCTGAACTAATAACATTTTAATATAAAATTGAAAAATAAAATGGATTTGAACAAGACACCACAGAAACAAACTAACTAAATAAATTATACTCTAAATGAAAGAAAGTTGACTTTTTCATATTTACTTTCTAGAGGTAATTTTAATACCTATAATTAAAGTATTTAAATCAAGCTAAGTGGCCTATTAAGTAAAAAGGAAACATAAAAGATATTTAGAGTAATATCATTTGTAATTATGAAACATAATAATCAGTAAGAAAAACTGTGCTATAGCATGTGCACCATGTGATTTATCTACAGGTACTTCTATTGCTCACATCACTGTAGTATCCCACAAATATGAATGAGTTTAATGTTCCGACACTCCTATGATACAAGGAAATATTAATAGTCTCCATTTTACAGATGGAAAAGTGAAGCAGCGGGAGATAAAAGCCTCCATTTTCAAAAGCAGTCTCCAGTTCAGGGCGACTCAATCTGAACACTTGTCGCTCCCACTGACTTCAACTGGAACTGTGCCTGCTCAGCCCAAGGCAGCACACTGAAAAATTAAGTCAGGCAAAACCAGTGGCCACTTTTGAAACTTTCTGAACTAAACCATTTATCCTAGGTCACACAGGTAATGTGTGGCAGAAGCAGAAATTGAACCCAGATCTCCTGAGTCCCACTCCAGGGCCTAATCTATAATGCCATCCTTCCACTCTAAACCACTTTTGAATATACATGAAATCTTGCATATTATGGAGGCCGTGCACTGTTAAACAGATGCCATGTTTCACCTCACAGGTGCTGGGTGAATGGATTCATAAACAACCTATACACACACAGGTATCTAATTACTTTGCACCGATAGATCTACCATAAAAAGTAAAACAGAGGACTTAGCTACTTTGTGTGTATACATCCTCCTTTTGCACATTATGTAAAAGAAAGATTTACCCCAATTCTGTTGGCCGAAATTTCCTATCCTCACATTGTTACATTGTGTGTTGTATGCAAGATGACAGTCACTTTCCACTCCAGTGTTGGCGATGTTTCAGTGCTATTTTAAGTATAGTATTTAGGCCCCCTCTCCAGCAGATCACCTAGGCACAGGTATAATTTTAACCACATGAGTGACTTTAATGGGACTACTCATTTGCTTAAAATTACTTATGTGATCTGCTGGGTTGGGGTCATAGTTTGTAAGGTGCTTTGAGATCCTTTGGGATGAAAGAAAATCATTTTTATACTTAACATTTTTATCACTGATATTAAATGTAGAAAACTGACATTTAATATCTTCAATTACTCAAAGAACAACTAGGAGACATTAGGGCTTTCCTCCTGACATTGGACAGGAAGATACCTATAAATGAATTTGTCTCTCCTACAGGCCTTTTGCTGAAGGTAACTTCCATGGGCATGCAATAGGTTTGTGATACAGGTCTTAAATTTGCTCACTAAAACATTCTGTACTGATCAAAAACACCAAAGAGGATTTTACATTATTTTTAATTATGTGTTTACTTGAAACCTTATTTACTATTTTGCTCTAGTAATTCAGACAAGTCGTGTATGTTGATGATATGCCCAACGTTTGAGATTATGTGCCAGTGTCTGAGATTATTGGTCCTTCTGCACATGGATCCTGGAGGAAACAATTCCCCACCTGTGCACCCCCACAACACCTGACTTCATTGGGAGTATTGTAGATTAGTTTGTAACTGAGATCAAAATCTGACCCTATGAATTATATTGGGATTTGTATGAAAATTGTTTACTAAACTCTGTTTAAAATCAAATTATACAGTGATTATAGCTCCTAAAACCATGTGATTAAAAAAAAATCTTTACTTTCATCAAACAGAAGAATTCCCAAAAGTAAATGAAAGTATCTGGTAACAGCCAAACTTGAGGAAATCTCCATTCTACCATTAACTAGATACATTTTTATATTACTTTTTCAATTTCAACAAAAATTTATTCAGTGCTTCCTTAAAGTTTCCATTACTCCCTCCTCTTCACTAGGATATTTTACCATTTCTCTGCTTCCTAATTTGTAAATACCATTTCAATGCTATTTGGAGCTGCATTTACACTGATTCTGTAAGTATGAGTAGAATTAAACTGTCCACTTCTTGTAGAGCTGTATGGAGAACACGATCAGCCCATTATTTATGGAACAGAATTCTATGCACCCACACATCTCAATACTGTGTGGAAGCTATATATTAAGTGCTAGGACCAAGGACAGTATTAGGACAATGCCAGTTATGATGTAAGGTCTCAAAGTTCTGCTCTTCCCAAAAATCCTACACCATTATACCAAATAAAGAGAAAGTCCTTTGTGGTGTACAGAATTCTAATTTGACTTCAAATGTAAACAGAGAATTTTTTCAAAAGTCTATATATATATTTTGAATTTTGAAAAAATTCTCTGTTTACATTTGAAGTCAAATATATATATAAGTGTGTGTGTGTTCAGCTTTGAGCAACAGTCTGGGTCCTATCAGTAAGCTTCTGAATTTTGTAAAGCTTTCTTCACTTTGTAAAGACTGTTGTATCAATTATTCTGCACATAATGCGATTCTTATCAATAAGATTATAAAATCTGGTTAGCAGTTTTTGAGAACTATATTTTTCCAGTGCAACTGGTCTTGTAATAAAATTGTAATTAGTTTATTTTGTGTTAAATTTCTTTCGACATTATAGTTTATGTCAAAGGATGAAAGGCAAGTATATATCCCCACTCACTACTCCCCATACAGGCTGAATTATTGGAATGTGGGTGTTAATCTCTGCAGGAACTGGGAAAAGAAACAGAATCCACCTCCCTCCAACACTCTGACAAGTCATGGGGCACAGTCTCTCCGGTGCCAGTATCCCACTAGTTAGTATTGTGGCTGCAGCCATTTCAAAAGATCCCACAAGAGCAGCGACTCCCAACAGCCTCCTTTGCCTATTTGGGATCATCACATACCTCATGTTTGCCATACAGGGGCTGCTGAAGATCAAGACTGTGTTATTAATGAGCTTTTATGAGAACTAAACTCGCCTCCTAAATGTGTGTGTTAGGGGTTTTTTTAATGATATATACTCAATATTTGCAATGTTGCTATGTTTTTCCATCATCGGGATGAAATTCAGACCACTGTCAGTAGGTTCAACTGCACCGACACTATTTGAGTTACACCCACTTATACCAGCTCTTCATTTGGCCCACAGATTCGAACCTCTGTTTGAAACAAGTACATTATGTTGGTTCAATAGTGTCAAACTCTTCCAAAGCAAATGAACAAAAATGCTCTGGTTCCTAAAAGTACTTTGGAAATTTTAGCAATTTAATCACTAAAATTTGTCTTTCAAATTCAGTAGCTACCTGTGTTAACCAATCCCAGGAAGAGAAATGGTAAGAGATACAGAAAGCGCAAGAATTACCAGGAAAGTGGGATTTGCATGTTAAAACCAAGTTAATGCCTGTCACCCTAGTATTACAACTGTTCCCCAACTCCTAGAAGACAACTCTTAGATTTCTTAAACATAAGCCTCTTCATATTTTTCCCATCTCTTCTGCCAGCCTCAAGTTTCACGGGCTGTATATGGTTAATAACTTTTTAGCCCACAATGTTGCACTTTTCATATTCCAATCGTTGTTTTAAAACTTTTGCCATAATTCAACTATTCTTTGAAAGCCAAGGGCTTTTCTTTCATAAATGAGCTAATAAGATCCCAATACCGAGGGCCTTCTAATTTTCATGTTCATAATACCCATCCCCTTGCATTCCTAACACACAAACTTTGTAATCTGACAGTTCCTGTGGGCACCCAAAAGAAGACATGTTTTCTGAGGTGCTAAAACCTGAACAAGCATCTCCTCCATGAAAAGGAACCAGAAGATAGCCTGGATCTCATTAACAACAATTACACTATTTCCCCCCTGTACAGTGTACATACTTACCCAGGAAGGCAAATGGAAATTACAGACAGAGGAAGATGAAGCTGTCTCAAAGCCTTTGTCATGTGATAGTGACCTATAAAGTATCAAATACAGGCACATCATCAGTACACCATGATTTTACAATATTGCAACTCGCCACAACGCCAACAAGAGGAGAAATTCCCAAAACTTGAAACTTGCTTCCTCCTCACACACCCTTCCCCCTCGTATAAGTTCTCCTTAAAACGGGAAGCAGGTTGACAGTCGCAGGAAACCTTAAACAGCAAACAAAAGATGCACCATGTCTTTAAAGGGCATTAGGACTGGGCAAATGGAACAAATCATCTGAGTGTGCATCAGCGGGGTGGGTTATTTTCTCTCTCTCTCACACCATGAAATGTGCGACGTATCAAAATAAAAGGCAGAAAGTTGGTCACAAAAATAAACCACAATAAAGCCCAACGATTTACACAAGTGCTTTCGCTCAATCCCCAGCGTGGATAAATTTAGCGACGTAATAATAATATTAGGAAATCAGCAAGCCCAGATTTCAGGTACGAGATATACACAGGGAGAGAGAGAGGCGGCTGCAACGTTGTAGCACTGTTTCAGGTAATGCCCATTCCCCTTTTCCAGATCTAGAGAGTCCTGAAATCGCCAAACAAGCCCCTCCACCATCGCAATCCACACGGAGATTAGAGACCTGAATCCAGACAGTGCATGGGGAAATGCATTTGCAAGCCACCACCGCCACCCACCCCCTGTGCAAAGTATAGAGCCACCAGAATCCGGGCTCTGGGGTGGGGTGAAAGGAAAGGTATTAAATATGGAGAAAGGCTAGACTGACCCACGGCTTTCCCTTTTTCCTCCTGGTCACCATCAACTTTGCATCTTAGTTACAAAATGTCGATCTTAAAGGCTGACAAGACACAGGGAGAGGGGGGAGAGAAAGAGAGAGAGAGAGAGAGAGAAGAGAGTCCATCTTGCTTTGGGGGGGGGAGGAGAGGAGCAATAATGTAATGCACAAATCTCACCCTCCCAGGGGGAAAAGTCTGCACAACACCTTTCAGGAGGGGAGGGAGGACGGGGAGGCAGGGGGAGAATGGGGGGGACGACGGGGCAGCTCCCCACAGTCCTCCAGCTTTCCCTCCCCAACGAGATTTGGTGAATCAGACTGGCAAAAAACACCTCCCTGCTACTGCTCCCCTCCTCCTCCCCGCGGGCCCGGGCGATGATCCCGCTGCTGCTACCGGGGAGGAGGTGCTGCTGCTGCTGCAAAGAGCCACATGGAGACCTAGACTCCTGTCCCTGCTCCATCTCCACAGCGTGTTAATATCGGGGAGTGGGCTGAGGGGGTGGCAAGCTGCCCCCACCCCTGCTGCGCCTAGATCTGGGACTTGAACGTGTCATTAGTAGGACAGGCAATGGTTTCAAAGCCCCAGGCCAAGTGACCATCCTCAGCAGCCTGGCTGGTTTCTCGCCACCACCTTCCACAAGGCTCCCCCTCTTTCCCCAACACATACTCTCTCACCTCTTAAAAACTTTTAAACAAGATCCTCTCGTGAGAAGTCGCTAATTTGCCCCTCACACAGTTAAAATAAAAGCAGCAAGCCATTGCTCACAGGGAGTGGGAGAGACCCAGGCATTTTCTTTCCCCTTTCTACAGAAAAGGAAAGCAAAAAATAGCTTGTCTGTGCCTCTCACTCGCTCTGTCTCTGTCGTACATGTTGTCTCAGCTTCTTTTTGCATCGTTTCATTTTACCTTCCTCGTTCAGCGGCAGCGGGCTGTAAAAAGATATTTCTAAACACAAACCTGCTGTTTTACAGATCCCAGGATCAATGCTATTCCCTCCCTTCCTCCCCCGTTGCAAACCTACACCGGCTCGGTTCTCTCCTCCCAGCCATGTAAGTTTCATACATTGCAAATAACATAGAGAGCAGGAAGAGAGAGAAACGAGGGGGGGGGGGGGAAGAGAGTCTGATTTCTGTAATTTACCAGCGACCCGATATCGCAGCAGCAAATAACAGTTTAACACCAATCTGGCTTCTGATGACTGAGTAACCCCCACTAAAGGCACAAACCCCCTCCCTGGGCAAATGATCTCCAAGTTTTCTGTCATCGCGACCATCCAATGTCACAACTTACCTTCAGAAATAGGACTTTAAACAGCCAAGGCCTTCCTTCCCCCCCCAGCCTCTCTCTCTCCACCTTAAACTTATTGACACAACATAATCCCACATTCATGCAAAATCCTGACACAGCCTCTCTCCTCCTCCGTCCCTCCCCCGCCCCCCTTTATTCTTTCTTCCTCCCCGGCTTGCACTAGCCCCACTTTTTCTCTAGAAAATTACAACATGGGGGGGAGGAGGGAAGGAGTGCATCGCACGGATGGCTCTACCGGAAAATATAGCTTCCCAACTCTCAAAGCGAACAACTGAGCCTGGTGGTTGCTGGCTTCTCTCTCTCTCTTTTTTAAGTGACACAAAACCACAGAGAAACCTGGCCCCGAAAATAAATCAACGCACTTTTTTTCCCCCACCGGCCCCTGGAATGAAGTTTCGTTTCTGGCTGCCGCGATTTCCCTGTCAAGCCCCCCACAAACGCACAGCCGGTGTGGCTGGTTTGTTGTTGTTATCCCTCCTCTCTATTTCAGCTTCTTTCCCCCACCCCTCGCTCCTCCGTTGTTGCTGCTGCTGCTGCTCTTGCCTCTCTGTGGGGAGAGGTACTGGTTCAAACGCAGCCTGGCACTGGCTGGCCTACCCCTGGTGTATTTTTTTTTCTTATGCATTGCATTGCAATTCACCTCCCCCTCCCCCCCCCCCCCTCCACGCCCGGCCTTTTAACGAGGAAAGGAGGCGACAGAAACAAACCCCCTCCCCACCCAAAGTTTGAAATGAAGGCTGGGGTGAAAAGAGGGAGGAAAAGTGACTGGAAATCGTGGCAGCAGCAACCCAGGACATGTAAAGGTCTCTGCCTGCCTCCAAGTCCACCCTACCGGCGGCTGCTGCTGGAAGAGTCCTTGGGGGCTGCCCCAGTGCTGTTAAGTGAGGAATAGAAAGGAAAGTGTGTGAAGAGGGCACCTCTCCTGCCTGGATTGCGAAGGGAAAGGCTGTGGGTTGTGTGCACTTACCTCTCTGTGTGTCTGTGTGTGTGTATGTTTCAGTGGCCAGTCAGTGTTTCTCTATGTGAAAGTGCAGAGAAGAGCACTCAGCAGAGCCTCGGTTTTCACCGTACACTGCTCCACATACAGTACATGCAACCCGGAGAGACTGAAAACATTCATTTTTATATAAGGCAGCCTGCGATTGGCTCAGGGACTGAGGGACAGGTTTGCCAGCCATACAGCTGGCCTGTTACACCCAAAGAGCGAGAGACTCGCACGCACACACACACTCATATGCACACACTCACACACAAAGATCATCTCGTTTCTTTTACTAATGTTTCAGGACCTGTAGACAGCCTAGCAGGGCAGGTAGAAGGACCAGCAAACTCAGGTCAGTGAGAGCAAGGATGATCTGCACTAGTTAAAACGCTTGAAACTGATGTCCATTGGTTGACTTGGGAGGGTTGTGGTAATAAACTACGACTCCACTGGATACCGAAGTGGGTTTTTTATTGCCACTGTATAGTGCCCCATGGAAGAGCAATTCTTTGTGTTATGATTTGCCAGTCTGAGCTGGTAAACAAGTAGCAAAAGGCAGGATTTCAGTTGTTGCTGGTTATCTCTCTTTTTTATTTTTACTCGGGATGAATTCATTCAGAGGCCAAAACATACAGAAAAGAGAAGTTCAGAAAGGCTGAAATGCATCCATATAGTCAATGACTGGTTAGTAAGTAAATACAGAAAATCAATCCCATCACACTGGTCTGAAAACAATGAAGATAAACAGTTTGCTGAAATGGTCATTTACTCACTGAACTATCAAAAGGGTTTCAGACAATAACATTGCAAAGCGATACTATGAAGGACTAGTACTGCATGCTGTGTTAATAATCATTCTCTCCAAAAGGTGTTTCAGAGGCCTTTACCAATTTAACATAAACAGTATGTTGTTTTTTAAAATTAGTAGTTAATATGGAAACTGAAGCTGATTAAATAAGTTAGATTATAACAATACAATCTACACAGCATGCCATACATATGTTCTTTCCCCTGTGATGCATGCAGTCCTGTAAGAGTCTCTCACAGATTACCATTTACATGGATGTGAAGTAAATCTAGACATTTATTTTTAATCTCAGACCTTCACAAACAAAACAACAGTATGACACCAGCAACTTTTGGTGTAACTGCATCACTGTTGCAATTGAGCCTTGAAAAACCTGCTGACACGTCTTACAACTATGAAAAGCTCCTTTTTCTGTTTAAATGAAACAAAATAATTGTAAGGAAAACATTCTCTGTAACCTGATTCACCGTATTATTGTTCACTATGTCTGATAACCTGTGGCATCTGCACTTTACTTAAGTATTTTTAAAAGACAAAATGTGTCATTTATTTTATGATTTACAGAAACTATCCCTCAGATTGCAAGTTCTTTGGGGCTAGGATTATGTCTTCCAAGCAGCATTTGGCAAAATAAAACATCATAAATAATAACTAATAATAGAATAAAATGGGAGTGACAGCTTCATGCAGATAACATATTAATTTATTTTTAAGATATAAGAGTGTTTTTTTATCCTTTGGTCCTCTCCACCTGCTCCCACTGCTGGGTTCTTCATAATAAAGGGGTTGATTTCCCCTCAACTCTCATTCCCTACGGTTTGGCCTCTCCTTGCTTTTATTCCAGTGCACCTTAGTTACAAACATTTTAAAATTATTTATTATGATGTATCTCACTAAAATGACAGAAAGTAGATTTGTAGGAGGGTATATGTGTGTAAATATATATTAATTTCTTTGTGGCTAAGAGATACACTTGGCCTGCACTGCATCACACTCTTCTTAGGAGAAGGGCAAAATTCTAAACAGCATAGTAAAACCACATACTCTTGCTCTTGTTGTAAATAAGGAGGGCTGGGGACAGGATAATTGAATATGAATTATAGGCCAAGATTTTCAAAATTACTAGTGGTTTTTGGGTGCCCAACTTAATGTTTTCATTCTTGATTTTCAGAAAGTGCTGAGGGCTGAGAGTCATCCTCTGAAAATCCGGTCCAATTTAGGTGTCTTAGGCCGGACAGTAAAAAAATCAAGGCATCCCAAATCACTAGTCACTTTTGGAAATTTTGGCCATAGTTCTTAGCACATTTGGTAATTTTCATACATAGATCTCAAAACATTTTACAAAGGTAGGTAAGCAGTATTATCTCCATTTTTACAGACGGGGAAATTAATGCATAGAGAGGTTAAATAAACTAGGCCACAGCTAAATAGTGGCATAATTGGGAATAGAACCTAAAGTTCCTATGTGCCAGTTCTAGTACCTGTACCTTATTTACTGCTTTACAGCATGGGGATTAATATTGTATCATGGCACCTTTCACTTCTTGATCACCAGTTCAAATCCAGCCAAGGTTATTACTGAACAAAATTAATTAGTGCGGCTGTTTGGTGGTGTATGTGAAATGAATTGATGATGTTGCTCCAGTTCATAATAGGATTCTACATTACAATTGGTGCCCTTATTGGCAATCTCAGCAAAGAAGCGAATATATGAGGCCTGATTCCCCACTTGCACCTTGTGTGGTTGGTCACACCTCTGCAAAATGGATGTCAAATGCTACTAATTAGAATGTAAATTTTCATCCATTTTGCACAGGTGTAAATGATTCCATAAGGTGCAAGTCAGTGGAAAAATCACTTCCCATAGAAACTAAGGTACCATATCACCCTTCACTTGTGGAAGGATCATCTATCTCTAAAGTACCACCCTTAGAGATAGATGGTCCTTCCACAAGTGAACTGAGGTGCATTAGTAGTATGGAGTATAAGAAGCTTGAGTTCTATTGCCCTTGATGTACCTATCATATATTGCAAGAGAGGACTTTAATTTTCTAGGGCTATCACTCTACCACCTTTTATAAACAATGGGGGGAGGGGGGAGAGATAGTGAATGTCTTTCCTATATTTTGTTTTAGGTATATTATTTTAAGCAGATGGATTTTTCACAACACCCATTTGGAGATATTTCTGATGTTCACACACTACTGTCAAGAGTTATAAGGTGGAAGAAGAGTCAGTGAGGAATTGTGTGTGTGTGAGATTTGCATTTTTAAGTTAGCCCACCACGTTGGAGTATCTTAAATTGTACTGCTGTGCTGAACTTGTATTTTTAAAGTTATGTCAAGGGTGCCTAGAATGTACGACCAGGCAGCCTCTTAAGCATTTCTATAAATCTGAATAAAGAATCCAAAGAGTAGGGCCCTGATCCTGGACTGTGTTCCAAATGAATGGACTACTGCACCCATGCAGAGCCTTACTTGAGTCACTGGGGCTCTTCACAGATACAGAATTCTGACTGGGTGTTACATGCTGAAGAATTTGGGGCCTAGACGAGAAGATCCCATTGTTGGGTTTTGTTGTTTAGGTGTCCCTCACTGTACCGTGGTACCCCAGTAGCTATGCTTTGGCACAATTAACACGGTATATCCTATCATCTGTCCCCACTCTCTTTCCCCCCCTTTCTATGTTTTATGTTTGTATTTTCCTCTTTTGAGGCCAGCTGGGAAGTCCATTGACTTCTATGGGTACAGGAGTGGGCCCTTTATTATTCCTCTCCCTATCCATTTCACCACTACCAGAGGCTGCTTGTGGGGCAGAGGTGGCCTTTGGTTGCTCTGTAGGGCTGGCATAAGGGTGCTTTCCTGTCTGTGCTGAGTGCCTTGGCATGGGAAAAGAAAAGCTTGGGCTAGCTAGCGTCTGCCTGAGCCTGCAGGCTCTGGAGCCCTGGGAGCTTCTACTGCGGTGGCTACATGTGACCATTGTTGCGTGAGCAGAGAGAGAGAAGGCCATAAGACAGCTATGGGAGTATATGCTTTATCGTTGTTAGGCTTTATACACAGCTGTGGAAGCATATTTGCTGTGCGGGGAAGGAAGGGTAAGGCAGGTACAGCATCATGTAGTGGTGGAACAGGCTCCTGCACTTTTCCTGTGGCCTATATCTATCCACAGCCCCAGGCATAGCTTGGCATCCTCCAGGTTAGGAAACACTGGAGTAGAATTATACAGTGGAGGGCCTAAATTTCCTCACCCAAAACAAACACTT